TACCTCATTTGTCCGTATATCTTCATGACTATGTCCAGCCTTTCGATGCACGCATCCGAATTACATTTGAGACACCGTATCCTTATCAATAATAGGGAGCTTAAACAAACCACAACGACAACGGCAACGAGTAAGTCACCAAACAAAAAGTTTAATGCGCAAAGCAATAGCTGTACACGTGCGTTATAAATCTTTGCAAATTTCTTCACCGTCCTATGCAAAACAAGAACGTGAAATGACCAAGTTGTGCGTAGTCTGAGGAACACCAATGACGACGGCTAATTTATCGTATTTCCATTGGAATTTAAGGTTGTCATTGCATATTTAGCCTGAGTACGATTTTAAAGCAATTGGCGTATTGAACAGATCTAGACAATGGCGAATTTCACTTGTGAAATATTAATTCATTTTTGACTAGGCGTCGTCCTCGGCGTCGCCGTCGTCGTTGCTAAAGCTCCCTAATGAATAACAGTGACGCATGATAACGAGTTTGCAAATTTGTCATAGTAATGAAAAACGTAATTGAAAACCCACATGAGAATGCAAAAATCTCACAATGTAGTGTCGTCAAAGTTCAGTTCTGTGAGAACCGCTCGGGAATGCATAATCACTTCCCTGTTTAGACTGTTGAGAGCTTTTCTTTTTCCCCGAAACGTTTCAAACCAACCCTATACTCGCTGTTTGTCATCCAGTAAATCAAAGTATTGACACACGAGTTAAACATAGCAACAATTCCTCCTGCGCGATGTAATGTACTACCAATATGAGTGACGCCAAAAGGAGAAAGAACGTAAATGGTTTGAGCTGGAAGCCAACACAATGTTAGAGTGATTGATGCCACAGCGCACATGCGCAGTAACGCTCTCTGCTGCGCTCTCTGTCGCTCACCGTAGCATCTTGCCATTGGTGATGTCTTGAACAGCAGTGTGCTATGGGTAAATGAGGCCCAAGTAATCAAACATGGAAAATAAAACCCAATCAGACAGCAGATAACTATCATGGCTTGAGTTCCCTTTTCTCCAAACGGCGCTTTAACATTAACACATTTACTTCCCGACAATTTCCACTCAAAAAATTTGTTGACCTTTAGAAGACAAGAACAAGCCCAAATAGCCAGGATGTAAAGAAAGACCCTCTTTCGGGTGAAGTAACGCTTGTACGTAATGGGTCGAAAAATACAATACCACTTTTCAATAGCCAGGCACGCAGGTTTTTCTGCGGATGAAATTTCACATATTTATGAAGCTCCTTTCAAACTAACTCTCGATGTCAAAATGTCGGTTTTTCAATTTAAGATTAACCACAACATTTTGTGCACAAAAAGTAGACTCTTAAGAGATAAGATAACAGAGAACGACAAATGTTACCTTTGCATTGGCAGTCAAACACTGACCCATCTCTTTGTTGAATGTGATTTTAGTTAAGTATTTTGGATCGATCTCACTTCTTGGTGGAATTGTAAATATAACATGCAAATCAAACTCAAACACCGCGATGCTCTATTTGCTTTTCATCCCGAAAAACAGGCTTTTTTAGGCATTAAATCTATATTTCTGCAAAAAATGAAGACCCCTTCTGTTTTGCTTCCTATCTCAAATTTTTAAAAAACAAGCTCGGGACAGACAAAAAGAAGATTTGAAGTCTTGTTACTCTTTAGAGCACTTTTGTTTTGTTCGATTCTTGTGAGTGTTTATAAGACCGTAATTCGTAGATCGCTTCAGTGAGCTATTTTCACTTTTTCTAAGTTGTCACATTTTAATTTTTTGTAATTTTTTTTTGAAATTGTGTTGTATGTTACCTTTTTTCAGTGAATAAATAAAATAAAGGGTTATTAAAAAAAAAACAAAAAAAACTACAAAACACATGCTTTTATTGCTACAGGGCCAAAAGCAGGACCACAGATTTTTATGACTGATGACGACACTGGACAAAGGGGAGCTCTTTCAGACATCTGGAAAGATGCTTTACTACTACTCTGTACATTTTATTTCCTGCAGGCTGTCTGGCGTTGGCCTTTTAACTCCAACTACAACATTAACAAACAAGATCGCCAACACTTGATAGGACATTTTCAGAAACTTGTTTTCTCATCCTCTGAGAAAGAATTTCTACAGGTAAGGTTACAACTGTAAAGTACCCCCATTATCAGGAATACCTTAAAAAATCCTTAAAGCGACAGCAAGAGTGGGCTCTCTGTCAGAGAAAGAACCTAATTACCAGAGGCAATAACTCTGATAATTACACTGAGTCAATGATCAACATTTCCAAGAGTGTGACTCTACACTGAATGAGGGACCTTCAAATGTATCTTCAAAGAAAATTACTTGCCCTTGCATTTTGCAAAACTGAAAATCTCCATCTCGCTCCGAGGTGGTTTGGTGCAACAGGCTCAAAAAAATCCAACTCAGTGCTGTCAAACAAAGCACTTCCGACTCTTTAAAATTCCTTTACCCAGCAGAACTAATTCAGAGGTAAACTATGACGTGGACTGCAGAACTGGAATGTGTACCTAGACGTATCCTTTGGGGAGCAATGGCAACCCCTGTGCACATCGAGCTGCCGTGGCACTCAAATATGGCATTGCAAGAATCAACTCAGAGACCAGAGGGAAGGATCAGTCTGGCAAAACTTGCAATTGGAGATCATAAGGAACTCCACTTACAAAAATTTGTTCATCTCCATGGAACCAAACATGCTGACATTGACATGGACACCAATGACTATTGTGTCCCCATGGAAGTAGATTCTGATCTCCCTTCAACCCAAGATGACACTTTCAGCAGTCAGCCATCTGACAAAGAATCTAGATTTGAGGCACACATTCAATTACAAGACATACTAAGAGTTCACAGGCAAGTACAAGATGACATCGAACTAAAGCTAAAAACAACTGGTAATAATTCTAATAGGGCATGCTATATGAAATATTTAGAAGTTTATAGAAAGATAATATCAAAAGCAAGAGGTCAGGCACCTGTTGCTGCACTTGCAACAGCGTTTGCACACTTTGGTAAATATCAAAATGGACTTACACTGCCTATTCTTCACAACAGCAAAGCCAAAATCAGAGTACAACCCACATCAATATCAAGAAGAAAATCAAAGTTAAAAACATCAACATCACAAACAAGTGGTCCAAAGCCATCTTTGAATGGAGTAAAGGGGAAGAAACTAATTTAAAACACTGGCTGAAATTACGGAAGACGCAAACATCAAACACAAAACGCCAGCATAATCTGGCCAGAAATGTGAAACTGAACCTTGCCAATGCTGGGCACACTCGTTAGGTACTGTCAAAGTAACAAAACTGATGTTTATGCAGGTATATTGAACTTAACCGCCAATAATTGTCTCTAATGGTTACGATGTTACTGCAGCTATTTTCACCAGTACCATCTGGTACAAGGTTATTGAGGATGGGGTGGTGATCAGTTACATGTAAGTTAGTTTTACGAAAGTTGTTTAAAAGTAATCAAGATGTAATGCAGGTGGGGGGTTGGGAGGGCGGGGTGCATACTAGGAGAAAAAGGAAATGTTAGCCAAGGATGATCTCTCAAAGTTCACAGTGTTTCTACACAATATTACAAATGCATGCTAATCACTTTCTATGCCTCAAAAAATTAAAACCAGGTGGCATAACAAATATCAATGTGATGTGAGAAACACGTGACGGAATAATGGCGGACGGTCACGTTTGTGAGAGCTCCTAGAATATAGCCGGATTATTCGGCTCTCAAACAACCATGTCGTCCACAACAAACTGAACCTTCAAAAATCAGTCAATGCGTTTCCATTTATGAAGAAAAAAAGCAAGAAAATAGCAGAGAGGTCCTTTTCTTATAGCCCACCGTCGAGCGACCAGAAGAAACCCAAGATGGCGGCAATGCCAA